TATATCTACATATATATATATATGTTTTATATGTATACATTTATGTATATATATGTGTTTGCATATGCATATGCATATGTATATGTATATGTATATGTATATGTATATGTATATGTATATGTATATGTATATGTATGTGTATGTGTATGTGTATATGTGTGTATATATATACACATATACACACACATGTATATATATATACATATACATACACATACACATACACATACACATACACATACATACATACATACACACATACCTACATACATACATACATACATACATACATACATAGGTATATGCATATAAACATATATATATATACAAACATATATATATATATATGTATATACATACATACATCCATCCATCCATCCATCCATCCATCCATCCATCCATCCATACATACATACATACATACATACATACATACACACATACATATGTATATACATATAAACATATATATATACACATATACACACACATATATATATATATGTATTTACATACATACATACATCCATCCATGCATGCATGCATGCATGCATGCATGCATGCATACATACATACATAGATACATACATACATACACATATGTATATATATATATGTTTATTTCTTTCGTTGTTTTTATATTTATGTCCTGGAAGTAAGCTGAGACCCTGAAGCCTTCACACAGGTTGTCTCAACCATCGGAGCCTTTGCTCTTCTCTGCGAAGACGGGACGGTGGTGACGTGGGGAGATGCGGATTTTGGAGCCGATAGCGCCGAGGTGCAGGAGCAGCTGAAGGATGTTCAGCAGATCTGTGGGTCGGATGGTGCCTTCGCAGCACTTCTTGCTGATGGTTTCGTTGTCACCTGGGGTGATGAAGACTTCGGTGGGAACAGCAGTGCGGTCCAAGACCAACTCTTAAATGTTCTGGAGCTTCAAGCCTTCGGCGTGGCTTTTGCAGCCACCCTCGCTGACGGGACGACCGTGTGTTGGGGCAGTCAGTCCATCCAGACAAAACTACAACATGCGCGACGGATTTCTGCCTCCAACGGCGCATGCGCAATTATCAAGGACGACGGCTCTGTGGTTGCTTGGGGCCACGCGGAGTACGGTGCTGATACGAGCAAGGTCAGCGACCAGCTCAGTGATGTTCAGCACATCCAGGCGACGTGGACAGGGGCCTTCTCTGCCATCCGGAGCGACGGCACCGTGGTGACTAGGTGGCTTTAGAGGGAGCGAATTCTCGTGTAGCATGTTCTGAAGAAGGAACAGAACAGGAACCTTGACTTTTGAAAGGCACCCAATTGACCCCCAACAGAACCCAGGTGAGTTGGGGCTTCGCACAGGCCGGAGGAGACACGTCTGCTGTGCACAGGAGGTTGCGGGATGTACGACAGATCCAGTCCTCCGAGAGTGCCTTCGCTGCGCTCCTTGCGGATGGCTCAGTAGTGACCTGGGGGCATGCAGACTGTGGCGGTGATAGTAGCAAAGTGCAACACGAGCTGAAGAATGTGACGCAGATCCAGGCTTCTTGGAATGGTGCCTTCGCTGCCCTTCTAGAGAATGGATCTGTGGTATCTTGGGGTGATCCCACCGCAGGGGGAGACTGCAGTTCTGTTGCCAGTCAGCTCAAGGACGTTCAACAGATTCAGTCCTCTGGCTTTGCGTTCGCTGCCATCCGCGCAGACGGCTCGGTAGTGACTTGGGGTGCAGACCACGCTGGCGGCGACAGCCGCTCTGTTCGAGACCAGCTGTGCGACGTTCAGCAGGTCCAGGGCACCAATGGTGCCATGGCTGCCATACTGGCAGATGGGACCCTGGTCACCTGGGGCGACGCAGGCTGCGGCGGCGATAGCAGCTCTGTCCAGGACCGGCTCCCGCAGCGAAGAAAAGAGCAACGCAGCCGCTCTGTGTGCGCTTTTGGTCGTGGTTGCGTATATACCTAGTTCTTCCTATGTGTCTGTTTCTCTCTACACTTTCTGTGTATCTGTGTACGTACATCCAAGGCTATGTATGCAGACAGACACACCCACCCGTGTCTGAGTCTAAGCATAAACGCATACACATGCAGAAACTCATGCACATGTTCATGCAGCTTGCGCAAATATACTGCAAGGGAACCCTATAAGAGGCAAAAGCAGAAGACCTGCATCATCGAATCCGCAAGAATTCAAAGGCCTGTCGCCTATGTAACTGCTACCTTCCTTTGGCAGGGTCGGGTGCCATAGGCTTTATTCTACGAGTACAACACTCGTTTTTTCAAAAAGCCACCACGACATTCTGAATACTTTAAGATCCTAAACCCTGAACCCTAAACCCTAAACTCCTAAACCCCTAAACCCCTAAACCCCTAAACCCCTAAACCCCTAAACCCCTAAACCCCTAAAGCCAAAGGATTCAGCCCAAAGGATACATACTCAGCGCTCGAAGGCGCTTCCTTCTCTTGTCCTGCTGCTACGTACGGCATAAAGAGGATGGGACAGTCGAAAGTTCAGTTTAGGGTTTAGGGTTAGGTTTAGGGTTTCGGGTTTAGGGGTTTAGGGTTTAGGGTTTAGGGTTTAGGGCTTGGGGTTCGTGTCTCGGACTAAGAGGGCTTTGCACGGCCTCGGCGCTTAGTTGCGTTGGACCCTCCTATGTTCGGATGTATATCTCCATACCCTAAACCCTAAAACCCTAAACCCTAAACCCTAAACCCTAAAACCCTAAACCCTAAACCCTAACACCCTAAACCCTAAACCCTAAAACCCTAAAGCCCTAAAAAACCTAAACCCGAACGCTCCGGCCAACCACCGTCGACCTCAATCGCCAAGTCAAAGCCAAGCCCTTCGGCCTCTGCTTTTCCCACCGCCACTCCCGATCCTGAGGAGCTAAAGTTCCGCAAAGGCGGTTTGGGGTAATACGTAAATAAATAAATAAGTAAGTAAGTACATAAATAAATAAGTAGATGAATAAATAAAGAAAGAAATAAATAAATACATATATATATATATGTATATATATATATGTATATATATATATATGTATATATATATACATACATATATGCTTTAATGTCCCCACATACTCGTATATTATACATTGTACTCTACATACTCTCCGCCTCTATCAGGTCCAAGCTGTCCGTGCTTGAAATATGTGAGGGAAAAGCCAGGACTCATGTTGTTATGTTGGTATGCAATGCTCTGTTGTGTTGATGCCCCTGGTATCATGCTACAACCCCTTGTGTCGGACGTTGCGTAGCGCTTGTGGAAACATACTTTCATTTTCCACCAGAGTATGTTACACACCATGGTGCCTGGTCGCACTGTTTTAACAGCCTCGGATTTTCCGGTTTGTCTTTAGCAAACAAAAGCTTGCGACTAGCCTGGATGTGCTCAGAAGCAACTTCACCGTATAGGATTTTCGGTTGTAGGGCTCGGTTACTAAATGGAACTTGTCTGACACCCATCATGGAGCAAAACAGCACAAATCCCTGCGAGGGTGAAGCCGTTTATGCCACGGGTGAGTTGAAGATCCCCAAACAGCTCTAAACTTCCATGAACTTTAGGGTTTAGGGGTTAGGGTTTTAAACTAAAGGTTTTAAACTTTAATAAAAGTTCAAACCCCAAGCAAATAAACCTCCAGCCCAAGGCCCGAACACCCACACCGGCATAGAGGCCTTCCGCACGAAGAGAGGTAGGAGTTCACAACGTCCATATATATATATATAAACAAACAAATAAATAACTAAATAAATGGAAAAAATAAAAACAAACAAATGAATATAAAAATGAACATATAAATAAATATAAATATATAAATATAAATATAAATAAATAGATAAATAAATAAATAAATATATATATATATAAATATAAATATAAACAAATAAATAAATAAATAAATATATATATATACATATATATATATATTGTTGCGTCAAAACATATACTGTCGTAACATACTGATACACCCCAGGCCGTAGTCTGCCCCTACTCACACTCCCATACACCCTCAGCCTACCCTAAGCCCTTTTGACCCCGCTGAGTTACTGAGTTCAGACTCCGCAGATCCACCGAGGTTCACGAAGAACACGGACGAAGCCGCGGATGCCGAGCTCCGCCAGGGCCTCGAGCAAGGTTTTGTGCCAGTTGTTTCCGTTTTTTCCCCAACAAGATGCAGTGGGATAGGAAGCGCGAGAGAGAGGCACTATTGTCCCCTCTCTGCGTTTCTTCCCGGTTTCCCTGCTACTCTCCGTCGTTTTCTTCTCCTTGTCTCTTTGTGCGCTCTCTTTACTGCATCATACACATAGATAGCCAGGGAGGAGCAGCTCAAGCAGATGATTGCATGGCTAAAAACACATGTACATGTCTACACTATATGGGTGCATGTTTACATGGGGTCTCAGAAAATGAGGGACCCTAATGTAGACCCTACGTAGAAGGACCCCTGAAAAACAGATCCCGAATAAGGTACCCCTAGTTTAGGTTTCCCTTCAGGCATAGCGGACATCAAGCTCCTACTGTAGATGAGAATATGTGAAGCGCACCGTCCGGCTAAGGGTTGCAGGTTTGGGGGTGTTCCTAGCCGCAGCTCTAAACCCTGAACCCTGAACCCTAAACCCTAAACCCTGAACCCTGAACCCTAAACCCTAAACCCTAAAACCCTAAACTCTAAACCCCGAACCCTAAGCCCTAAACCCGAAACCCCATAAACCCAAAACTTCTGGGCCCTAAGCGGCGGGCAGGTACGAAGCTCCTCCAAGCGCACCTCGGCGCAAGCTCTCGGGTCTCCAGTCGCAGCGCCTAAGTCCGAAACCTGTAAGGCCCTAGGGCCCTAAACCCTAAGTCCTAAGGCCCTAAACCCTCAGCCCTAAGGTCTTAGACCTTAAATCCTAAGGCCTTAAACTCCCAAACTCTCGAAACCCTCGGAACCTTGAGGTTCTCCCCATGTAGAAGCGTTCTCGAATCCGTACCAAACCCTTCTAGAACCCTTATAGAAGCCTTGATGCGTAGAATCGTTGTAGAACCCTTATAGAACCCTTGTAGAAGCCTTTGTGCGTAGAATCGTTGTAGAACCCTTCTAGAAGCCGTAAAGGGCCGATGAGGCTCTCCCAGCTTGGCACTCATCTGGGCGCCGGAGATGGGTTTCTTGCTGGGCCCGAGCTGCTTGCCAAACTTCAGGGGCCTTGCGGGCTCTAGAAGGAGAGCTGCAATGGGAACTATGCCGGGTTTGAGGCTTTGGGGTTTGGAGTTTGAGGGTTTCGGGGTCCGGGTTGGTGTCCATGCCCTACACAGTTAAGCCTGAAGTGTCATTGGCGAGGTTGAGTTTTTGTTTCCGGCTTGCGGTTACACTTCTTGGTTTTGACGGATTTCGTGCTGAGGAGTTCAGTGTTTTTCTCATTCCGCGAGTAGGCTCACGCGTTTCACCTGAAGGCGCTTGTTAAGTTTTGCTTTCCGCCTCTGGTATGTGGTTGGGATAAGAAGTAGCAGCGGTCCGGCATGTCGTGGCTCGTGCTAGTCGGAGCTACTTCGGAGCATGCATATTCCCAAGGAAGAGGGATGAACGATGATAGCAAGATGACTGCTCCTGGTTCTGGTGCTTCTGTTACATTTCCAACTTCAACAAAGAGCACCGCAACAAGTGCTGCTGCGACATCGGCTCGTGCGACTATTGCTCCCCGTGCTCCTGCTGCGAGTACTTCTGCTGCTGCTGCTGCTACAACAGTAACGGCAGCAACAACAACAACTACTACAACGACGACAACAACAACAACTACTCCTACTACTAGTACTACTAGCCCCAGTACTAGTACTAGTGCTAATGCTAGTAGTAGTAGTAGTAGTAGTAGTAGCAGCAGTAGTAGTAGTAGTAGTTGTAGTAGTAGTAGTAGTAGTCGTAGTAGTAGTTGTTGTAGTAGTAGTTGTAGTAGTAGTAGCAGCAGCAGCAGCAGTAGTAGTAGCAGCAGCAGTAGTAGTAGCAGCAGCAGTAGTAGTAGTGGCATTGCGTAGGAATTCGTAGTAGGC